ATTTTAATCCACCCTATATTCACAGGCTTAATTCACCACTAATCATAATATTCAGCAAGTAAAAAGTAGGAAGACCACAGTTCCACAGGCATATAAACAAGAGCTGAAAACAATAATCATATCCCAAAATTTCTATTTCATTCCTATACATTTTTGTATTATATATTAGCTGCCACAGATCAAGGAAAACATATGATGTTTTGTCTTTTGAGACTGGCTTATTTCACTAAGCATAATGATTTCCAGTTGCATCCATTTTGTTGCAAAAGACAAGATTCCATACTTTTTTACAGCTGAGTAGTATTCCATAGTATATATACATCACATTTTCTTTATCTAGTCATCAGTTGATGGACATCTGGGTTGATTCCATATCTTAGCTATTGTGGTTTGAGCTGTAATAAACACAGGGGTAAAAAAAAATAACCACAGGGGTACAAATAAACTCTCACATGCTGATTTCATTCCATTTGAATAAATTCCCAGGAGTGGGATGGCTGGGTCATATGGTAGATCTATTTTTAGATTTCTGAGGAATCTTCATACTGTCTTCCATAATGATTGTACTAGTTTACATTCCCATCAACAGTGGATTAGGGTACCTTTATTTCAACTTTCTCACCAGTATTTATTGTTTTTTTGATCTTTGGATGATAGCCATTGTAATAGGGGTGAGTTGAAACCTCATTGCGGTTTTTATTTGCATTTCCCTGATGGCTAGTGATCCTGAGAGTTTTTTCATGTGTCTGTTGGCCATTTGTAATCTAGTGCTTTCTTTTGCAAATGGGGAAACTGAGGCCTAGGGCCATCCATCTAATTAGTTCGAGGCTGGGATGAGCAGCAAGATGTTCCTGCTCCCAGCCTGGTAGATTTTCTGAGCCTTCTTGCTGTTATCCCAAGTCTTCATTATGTTTGAGAGAAAATGCCAGAATATCCTCAGGGCCACCCTTACACATAGGTAAACATGATGTGATCAAATATGTCTCCACAATTGCCTGTCATTGTGCCTGAAATTTCACCCTTGGTGATTCATTCTTTCGGAGCTTGAAGCTTTCTGTTCTTTCAGGAGACTATAGACAAGGGATTTATTGACAATCACCAAGAAGAGGCTTTGTAAATTAGACCCAGGTTATACAGTTGAGGCAGAGTGGTGGCAGCTGGCCCAGAGAAGATCAGGCCAGGGTAGGCATGGGAACTCAGGGCAAGGGGGTGCCACCCTGATGGAGCAAGGAAGAAGTATTTGCTAAATCCACACACACAGCTGTCATTAAGCCCTGGCTTGGACATTCAGGAAGCTTTTCCCCTGGAGACCGTGCTCTGACCTGGGGGGCCTGATCCCTGCTGTGTGGCTCACGCCAGGGAGAAGAGGGCAGAAGTGTGGAGCATAGCATCAGGCTGACTAGGGCGGCCACCGGGGCACTTTATTAAGAGGAGCAGCCTAAGCAAGATGGATGTGACAAGGGGATCTATGAAGACGCTGAGAGGAGCTGCAGCCGCAAGAGGGATGGGCTCCAAGACTGCCAAGAGAGGCTGGGTGTGGAATCTGTCTATTCTGTACCTCGTGCAGAGACGCTGGCTTCAGGCACCCTGGCCCGAGGCCGAGGTGTTTGCTTGCTCCCTCTGACTTCCATTCTAGCACGGAGCTTGGCTGTGGCTCCCAGGTTCCTGAGCCGTGCCTGTTCTGCCATCATTTATAGCATTTGGACATCCAAAGGGTTTCAGGGTGACAGTCTGGTGGGAAGAAAGAAGGGAAGGAAGAAGGTGAGGGGCTCAGTCTAGAAACTTTTCCTCAATGTTTCCTTAGAGTCTGTGTTTCCTTGGGGTATCCGAGAATGCTTCTGGAAATTTGGAAACTTGTCTTGAAGCTGTGTTTGTAAGCACAGCACTCATAGTTCCTTATCTGTGAGGTCTGCATTTGCATTCGCAGATTCAACTGTGGATAGAAAATATTCACCCAAAATTGTGTCTATGCAGAACATGTCAATATTTCCTTGCCATTATTCCTGAAACAATACAGTAGTGCAACTACTTACCTAGCACTTACATTGTATGAGGTATCATAAGTAATCCAGAGATGATTTAACGTATACAGCAGGCTGTGCAGAGGTAATATGCAAATGCTATGCCATTTGACATAAGGCACTTGAGCATCCCTGAATTTTGGCGTCCATGATGGGTCCTAGAGCCAATTCCCCTCTAATACTGAGGGGCAATTATAATGTAGATTGTAGGCACACTTCTGGGGGCTTATGAGGATGAGCAGAGTAAGCTGAAGACACCCCCAAAAGTCTCCACTAGTACTATTGCAGATCTCAGCTAATCTGGGCAGAACACAGAACTCACAGTTTCTAATAAAATAAAGCATCCACCTTCATGGCCACCCTCTGCTATCTCACACAAGCCCCGTGCATCCTGGACGGGTGTTTCTGGGGGCCTCTGGTGGTTTCTACCCAGTCACCTGCAAGTCCTGGAGTTGAGTGGGCTTGGGTGAGAGGAGAAGGCTGCTATTGCTAGGAATTTGAAAACTGGAGCCAAGACTGTCCCGTTGATTCCATTGAAGTTGCCCCCGAAAAAAATCTCCCCGGCTTCAGGCCAGGTCATTACTAACCTGTGTGTCATGGGCACTGCTGAGGGAGAACAATATGTCACAGAGCAGAGACTCCTGCTCAGGAGCAGGCTCCGTGATTGGAGGAAGATGGAATTCAGTGCAATCAATTTGGGAGAGTCAGCCAGGATTTCTTTTAAGCTTTACTTCCCAGCAGCCCCCTTCCACCTGGGAGACAGACTAATCTCTGACATTTGTCTAGTGGCTTTATACTTTCCAAAGCTCCTGCACATCCATTATCTCCATGGAGCCTTGCAAAACACTCCCATGATGGAGGATGGGAAGGTGTTATTATCCCTGTTGGACCAACAAGAAATCTGAGGCCCTGAAAGGAGACATGACTCATCCAGGGTCACACCGCTATTTAATCAAAGAACTAGGACTTCAGGTGTGTTTCCTCACTTCCAGCCCTGTGATCTTCCCTGCCTCTCGTGGACTCCTCTTTCCCGCCCCCAAGAACTGGGGAGGTGCCCTGTACCCAGCACAATGCCTGGCACAAAGCAGGTGCAGACAGGTAAAGGGGAATCCTCAAAACGTTCATGCAACATGTGTGTTATGAAAAGACCAGGCACAGATGTAAAAAATGTTTTCCACCAACATCAACTTACTTTTTTGAATTCAGTGTTCCCACACACTTTTTTAAAAGATTTATTTTTTATTTATTTGAAGGAGAGTTACAGAGAGAGGTAGAAACAGAGAGAGAGGTCTTCCATCCAAGCACTTGGGCCATCCTGTACTGCTTTCCCAGGCCATAGCAGAGAGCTGGATCAGAAGAGGAGCAGCCGGGACTCTAACCAGCGTCCATATGGGATGCCGGTACTGCAGGCTGGGGCTTTAACCCACTGTACCACAATGCCCCCCCCCCACTTTATGAAGTCGCCTCCTGTCTGCTAAATGACTGCACAAGCAGAGGCACAGCAGGAAGGGACGCAACTTTTAAAACTGCTCTTCTTTTAACCAGAAGGAAATGCTGTGTTCCTTCATCATTTTGAAGTAAAGAGTTAAGAGGGCTTTCCCATCTCGCAGGTGTCACTGCCAAGGCCCAAAGATTAGGGTAGCTCCTATCGGGAAGTCTTGGGGCTTAATCTCCCAACAAGGCTGCCTTCTACTGCTTTTAAAAGGAGGAATGGGGGCCCACGCCATGGCTCACTTGGTTAATCCCCCGCCTGTGGCGCCGGCATCCCATATGGGCACCAGGTTCTAGACCCGGTTGCTCTTCTTCCTGTCCAGCTCTCTGCTGTGGGCCGGGAAGGCAGTGGAGGATGGCCCAAGTTCTTGGGCCCTGCACCCGTGTGGGAGACCAGGAAAAGCACCTGGCCACTGGCTTCTGGCTTCGGATCTGTGCAGCGCCAGCTGTAGCACCCATTTGGGGGGTGAACCAATGGAAGGAAGACCTTTCTCTCTGTCTCTCTCTCACTGTCCACTCTGCCTGTCAAAAAAAAAAAAAAAAAAAGAGGAATGGAGCTGTGAGTCCTCATTACAGTAGCAGGAAGGGGTCGGGATCAACCTCAGGGAAAGGTATCCTCCCCATGTTGTCTCTGCAAGCCCCTCCTCTCCGCCCCCAGGGTGGTTCTTGAGAGGTCTACCATTCCAGGGATGCCCACTCGTGTGGTTTCCTGGATGGCCGCCTGAGCTGAGACTTCCTGCTTTTCCCACCTCCCGCAGGGCCTGGCACATAGTAGGTGTACAATAAACGCTAGATGAATGAACTGAGCAAAACATCCCTAGGCACTGCAGTCAGGATCCTGCTCCCCACCCCAGAGCCCCATCTCCACCTCCAGAAGCCAACTGACCTGGAGTTGCTACTCGTCCCCAGCCCGGTCAGAAAAATAGGGAAACAGGAGGTGGAGACATGGATATTCAAATGAGGCTTTGCAGCGGCACAAAGTGGCTTTCGTGGCCTGCAGCCCTGGTTTGAGATCCCGCAGGTTTCCCGTCTTGGCCCCACCACTTCGTAGTAGCTCTTGTACTGGGAGCTGTTTGCTTTGTGACTCTTGAGCCTCGGTTTTATTTTCTGGACGATGGCGAAGATGCGGGAATAAGAAAATGGATTCAAAGCACGGCAGCGGGCACTTCGTAAGCGCTCCCCAACAGGCAGCTGGATTATCAGCACACCTTGGTGCTTGGAGCCTCCCCTGCGCGGCTCGCCCGAGGGGCGCGTTTGCAGTGCGGAGGGGAGGGGTGGCGAGGAGTGCGCCCGCTGCCCAGGCAGCCAGCGCAGCGCGGGCGGCCAGGCGGGAAGGCAGCAGACGCCGCCGCCGTGTTTACCAGCTCCTTGGCCAGTTCGCCACCTTGGCCGCGGCTCTGGGGCCGAGCCAGGCGGCTCCTTCTTTAAGATTCTGATCACAGCAGGGGCTGGGTTTCTAAGGCGGGCGTGCTCTTTCTCTTCCTACAGAAGCCGCTGCCTCTACCGTCAGCGCTGGGCACAGCCAGAGGCAGCGCGACAGAGAGAAGGCAAGAGGGTTCCCGGGCCGGGCTGCCGCCCCGCTGTGGCCCGCAAAGGGCCCCGACAGTAAGTACCGCGCTCGCCTGGGAAAGAGCTAGAAATCAGGGCGCCTGGCCATGGGGTGGGGTGGAGTCTGTGGGAATAGGAGGTGGGTCGCTGAGTGCTAGGGTCCTCGCCAGCCTCTCACAGGGACTTGGTGGTGGCGCCGGCATGGGCCCCCTCTTCCTGGGTGTGTGGCGGCCTCAGAGGGACGGAGTTGCAGCGCGTCGGCAGCAGTGCATCCCTCTCCATCCGTCCTCCTGAGCCCTCAGCATTGGTTCGGGTCTGCAGACAGCGCACGGGTCTCCCCTCACGCCGCCGTCCAAGAGGAAATTAGGAGATGCGTGGGACTGGGGTTTCAGCCGCTGGAGGGAAAGTGGCAGCAGGTGCGGGAAGTTTTCCTGCCGAGGGTGGGGGTAGGGGGGCGGAGAGGGAGGAGGGAGAACGCGGGAAAACGGGACCAGCCACCATGGGAGCGGGACGACCCCTCCAGCTGCCCCCACCCCACCCCAGCTCGTTGCTCAGGGGCTCCAAGAAGCACTCCAGGTTTCTAACCGTCCCCTTCCACCCCTAATGCACGTCCATTTCCCGGGGCCAAAACCTGCTGGCTGATCTGCCCTCAAAGGACTTGTCAGCGTTCACAAAGCTCCGTGCGGCTGAGAATCAAGACCCCACCTAGAACGTGTTGCACTAAATGCAGAAGCGTTGGTCCATGGGACAGTGCAGGAGCACCTGCCACTTTTCTTGGGTTGGGAAATCCTCAGGAGGGAGGGGAAGCCCTGAGACCTTCTCAGACAATACCCGGATTTCTCCTGTGTTGTTCAATGCCCAGTCACTCATCTTACTGTGCACTGGGCATTGAGCTAAATTCCTGACCTACTAGTAAGAATTCATGTGCAGTAGGGACAGTAGCTCATTGTAAAACATTTTTGTGTGCCAGGCATAGTTCTAAGTGCTTGGCACACACATGATCTCATTTAATCTTCACAACAAACCTGCGATGCAGATATTAATAGTATTCCCATTTCACAGATGAGGAAATTGAGGCACAAAGAAGTCCTGGAACCCAAGGCTCCATAGCTAGGGAGAGGCAGAACTAGGATTTCAACTTTGGTGTATTTCAGCCTCCCAACGCATCACTGTTAACTATAGAAAGATGGTGAGAAAAAAAGTTGGCCTTAACCAAATAGTAAAATAGAGGTTGATTTCCCTTCAGCAAAGCTTATTTATTCTGTAGATCTGAAGTTAAGGCTGAGGTCCAAAGAGTTTTGAGTCAATTTTTAAGTCACCCCATTACATCCTGTGGAGAAAAGCAAACCGAGTGGGCCGTAACAAGCAGCAGATCCCATTAGTAGATTTCCAGTAGTAATTGCTAATAGTAATAATTGAGCACTTATTTTGCACCAGCACTTTCTGTATAGCTAGTCTTTATGTAGGTACTTTGAAAAAGGTTATGCCAAGGGCCCCATTTTACAGATGAGGGAACTGAGGTTCAAGAGGTTAAATAACAGGACTGCAAGCCACATCTTGCAACACTGACATCCCATATGAGTCCCAGCTGCTCTGCTTCTGATCCAGCTCCCTGCTAATGTGCAAGGAAAAGCAGCAGAAGATGGCCCAAGGGCTTGGGCCCCTGCCTCCCATGTGGGAGATCTGGGTGGAGTTGTCGGCTTCTGGTTATTACAACCATTTGTGGAATGAACCAACGAATGGAAGATTTGCTCTCTCTCTGTCTGCAAAAGAAGAAAGGGAAAGAGGGAGGGAGGGAGGGAGGGAAGAAGAAAGTTAGTTACATAAGTTGCTGGAGTTGGGATTCTGCCCCGCTCCACCAACTCCAAAGCCCAGGTTGGATCCACCCTTTGGGAGATTTGTGCGGGATTTGCCTGCATCACAGTTCTCCCCCCCACTCCCTAACCAGTTTCCCAGAGCCTTTAACCTCTCCATTTCTCAGCCCCGCTCTGCACCAAGGGAGGAATTGTGCACGTTGGTGGAAAAGGGATTCCTAGTGGAGGAGCGTTCTGCGTGGATTTAGGTTTTGCTGTTGCACTACATAGCCATGCCTGGAACATCGATAAGTTCTGCTTTGGAAATTTTATTAATTAGACAAGTGTCTGGTCTGCTGACTTGGAGTCGTTAATCCGATATTATGGCTCCGTCTGAGTGCCTCTGTGAGGAGCTATTTTGTAAAAAGTTTTTAGAGCTGTATTTGGCATCTTGTTTCATGGCCAGGACTTCAGTAACAGCAATTATAGCCCAGCCAGGAGTAGGATTTTTGCTGCCCCCTCCCCATGGCCCTGTGAGCTGAAACCTCCAAGTGGCCAGGTCCCTCTGTTGCTATTTAGCATCCGGTTCTGCCATTGGCCCCCTGTTAGCTGCCTTCACACGGAACCCCTCTTCAGTGCAGGCGTGACAAGGTGTGTGAGCTCCGTGCTTTGGATCTCCATGACTGTGGCTGGCCTCAGTGCATCTGCTGGTGGCTCTCCTTTGCTGCCTCCTCCCGTGAGGTGGTGCCTAAGACACGGGGCTGGGAAGCCCAGGGCCAGATTGTGTCCCTGGTTGCCTTTGAGGCCTCTGCATCATTTTGGAAGGCCACCAAAAAAAAAAAAAACCACACACACAACGGAGTCATTGGGTAACATTGGTCATTAAATAAAGGTCCCCTTCAGTTTTTCCCTGTACTTCTTTCAGATTTCTTATAATTGCAGTGATTTAAATACCTAGGGGTTTCCCACTCTAAATCTTCCTAATTGTTCCTTTGCTGTCATGTTTGACATTCCTTTCCCCGGGAGTGTCCTTCTCCTTCTCACCTTCACCACTCAGCTGAGGGTGGGGGTGGGGGGGGGGAGATCTGCTGGGAGTCACAGTGCCCGGGAACTTGTTGTGATCTGTGCTCCCACAGCATTCTCTGCTGCCCCCTGTGGTGCCAGGTGACAAATGCCTTTCTCTTTGTTTATGTACCTGCTTCCTTGGACTGCAGTCTCCCTGAGGGGAAGAGACGGGGCCTTATTTATCTGCATGTCTCCAGAATCCAGCACCATACCTGGTGCGTAAGAAATTTTCAGTAAGTTTTTGCTGCCTATTTGAAGCACTGAGAATGCTGTCTAAAAAGCTGATGGAGGGAGCCCCTGACTTTCAGCAAGAGACTGCTGTTTTTCCTCTTAAAAGAAGGGAGGTAGAACCAGACCTTGCAAGAGCCCTGGCTCTGTGAATTTCAATCACCGAAGAAGAAGAAGAAAAACAAGCCAACCCCCCCCCCCAAGTACACTGTAATTCCACAACCCGGATGCTTGAGAAGAGCTTTTCTGGTTAATAGAATGTTTCTGGGTAACTGAGGGTTAGGCCGAAAAAATAATGTTGTTTTACCTTTTCTGGATTCTTTCTGAAATGCTTGGGTCTGCTTTTCTACCTTAGTGACTTGAGTCTGGGGTCCACAGTTGGATCTGTGTTGCCAAGTAGGGAGGCGGTGAGTTCGCAGCATTCCCTGTTTGCCCAAGTCTGCAATAGGGTAGCATGCATTCTCCTTCCCCATCCCCATGCCTTCCCACGCCCCTGCCCTTGCTGTACCAAAAGACAAGCCCAGAGGTTTGTGGTCTCACTGCCACTCACTTCCAGGAAACAGACTGAGTTTTCCCAACTAACAACAGGGGAGGTGCAAGGCTGACGCATGCCCTCTGAGCTAGTAACTCAGCAGGTGCTCTTGTCCATGGCTTTGATTCTTAGGTGGAAGCTTCCCACCCTCACTCCCCCTTTTCTGACCCCAATTTAGGTCAGACCTTGTTTTTCCTTCCTCCCTCTCAGCAGGAAGATGCAATTAGGGAGACTAAAAGATGTTGCATTGTTCTGAGGCTGTGGTTGCCATCTGTGGACCCCTCCATGATATGAGTTTACCAGGCCTCTGTTCACCTGCCCTCCTTCATCGAGTGGCTTCTTGGTCTGATTTCTACCCTGCCTCTGGGCTGTGCTCTAGATTAGATGGCTCAGAGATGGTGCACAGGAAGGAAGGAGTCAGGGATTGTTCCCTCCCAGGAAGTCCACCTGGGGCCTGCTGGGTCAAGGGTATGGGCATCAGATACCAACTGCCTCATCTGAGGCAAGACAGTGTAGGGAGATGGGCATCTAGGCAAAACTTCGGGCCTTTCTCTTTTGATGGAATTATTTTTAAGATTTATTTATTTGAAAAGCAGAGTAAAACAGAGGCAGAAGCAGAGAGAAAGAAAGAGATCTTCCATCCGCTGGTTCACTCCCCAAATGGCCACAACTGCCAGAGCTGGGCCAATCCAAAGCCAGGAGCCAGGGTCTCCCATGTTGATGCAGGGGCCCAAGGATTTAGACCATCTTCTATTGCTTTCCCAGATGCATTAGCAAGGAGCTGGATCAGAAGTGGAGCAGCCAGTATTCAAACAGGCGCCCATATGGAATGCAGGTGACAGCTTTAGCTGTTGCACCACAGCTCTGTGGGCCTTTTTCTTTCCACCTCTGACCTGATTGACCTGTCTGTCTCTGTCTCTGCAGAGCCAGACATGAGAGAGGGAGTGAGAGAAAGGCCTACTTGGTGTCTTCCTTGGGTCAGCTTACAGCTTCTTGCTTCCTAGCAAACGTCTCTGCCATTCAAGAGTCTTTGTGCCTCCTGCCACCATACCCCTTATTCCCTTCTATCTCTGTGCTGGCCTTTCCCACAGCACCCAGCTACAGGCCTCTTCTAGGGAAGCCTCACCCCACTGCTTCTGAAAACCAGCAGAAAGTGGACGAAAGCGAAGGAAATAGCTTCCAAGGCCCCTGCCAACTCTTGCACTCCCCAGGAGTTTGACTGGAGTCAGGGGACGTGTGCGTCCAGGGCTGGGGACCCAGGACGTAGAGGCCTCCACCTCACAGAGAGGAGGCACAGCGCAGCTAGCCATCTGAACAGGCCCTTGATTGACTTTAGGAGGCTTTGCCCAGAGCCCTGTACAGCTGGCGCCTGCCAAGCAGCCCCCTGAGGTTGCTATTTGAGCCCGGGTCTTTGGCTGCTGGAGGCAGCTACTTGTTGG